ACTACAGTCCTTGTAGTCTTTGTCCTGTCACTACAGGCCCTTGTAAAAAGTCCCCTCCCAGCATCCTTGTAGGATCTACATCACACAACTGCTGCTCTCCACACATCCATGGACCTGCCCTGTCCATGGATCTTACTACCCGAACTCCAACCCTTGGCTTGCCCTCCCACGCTGACGTCGGATCTGTTTATTATTCTCATTCCAGACCTGCCTGGCAATCACCAGATTCTGTCTGACCCTGTTTACCAGAGCCAGCCCCAATCCTCACGTGCGGATTGACTCTCCGGTTGGCCCTGGGCCTGCCTCGCTGCCATTGAACCTGGCCATCGGCTCCAGGCCTGCCTCGGACACCTGGGCCCGGGCGGGGAAGGTCTCTGCCGTGCCAGCTGCGTTACGGCGTCCAGCTCCCGGCCTCTCCGCCAGAGCCACCAGCCCTGCTGCCCCCGGACACGGCGTGGGAACCGCGCTGCGAGGGTGCCAGCTTTACCTGTGCTGCAGAAGTGACTCCTGCTCGCTCACTGCTGTCAGTAGGGATGGTTAGCATCCTTGGGTCGTTTTAACTGGACCTTCAAACGTTTCATACCAATCTGGAAGCCGTTCATGGCCTGGATAGCAGTCTGTGCACTGGATGGGTTGTCAAAGCTTACAAAACCTGGAGGGCAGGAGACAGGCACAGGTAATAATGGCACTGTTGGTGCCATGCCCAGCACATGCGTGGCCTCCTTAGCCACCATGCTTCCCTTGCCCGCTGGCAGCAGCACTCACCAAAACACTTGCTCTGGTTGGTGGCACGATCCATGAACACCTTGGAGGAAATGATATTGCCAAAGGGCAGGAACATCTGCATCAACTCATTGTCTCCAAACTCCTGAGGGAGATGGTAGATGAAGAGATTGCAGCCTTCAGGACCTGCAGGCATGGGGACAACGGGGAGGGACAAAACAGAAAGCCCCCAAAGGGATGGGGAAGAGAAACGGCTCAACTCAGAGCACAGCACTGGAGCACAACCCCAGCACTGCCTCCTCCTGCCCTGACCGCCTCTTGCTTGTCTCACTCAGTCGCTGGTCCACGAAGGGTTCTGAGGGCTCTCTAAGAGCAGCTGGGAGGCAACATGCAGAGCTAGAGTTCCTGGAGAGCAGATTCACTTTCCCAGCTTGCCCGGTTCCCACGTGGGGTGCCGGACAGAACAGCTCTGTCAGCATTGGGGTGCTGTTTCACTGGAAAAAAACTATCTGAGGTGACAGCTCCTTGTTCATAGCTCCCCCCGTCCCAGGAGAGCTGCAGACACTGCTGTGTGAAAGCTGCTGCTCCAGCATTCCCTGCCCACACCTATGCCATGGTTGCCTTCAGCCCATAAACCTCAGCCTCATCTGGAAATCTCCCGGATTGCCCCACATCCAATTTATGGGCTGGTGGTCCTGCCCGCTCCTTCACTTGGTCCCTGTGAGCCTGTTCCCTTGCTGACACCTGCTGTACAAAGCAGGAGCAGACAGAGAATGCCTTTGCCTCCAAATTCTGTCCAGGCCAATTTTGAAATAAGCTGAAAAACAAACTCATGAGTCTAGGAAGGCTGAAGAGAGAGGCCAGTGCATTGGAGAGGCTGGTCTGACTGGTACCAGTGTGGTTCTGGCATCAGAAAAAGTGCCGACTGCACTCGGGAAGGTGCCGACTACAACCTCTGACGTCAAAGCTTGGTGTTCTGGTGCTTGCTGTCCCCTCTGTGCTTGGCAGCATCTGGCCAGGGGTGAGCTCAGAAAGTGTGCATGACAAACATCCTCTGAACCCTTCTAGTCCACCCCCTGCAGAGATGAGGTTGACTCTGTAACCCAGCTCCAGTATTACAGATCAGAACGGGTAACGATTAGTGTTGTCTCCCCTCCACTGGGTCTGTGGTGCAGACGACGAGCTACACAAACCCCCCTCCCGCACCCCGGACTCACACATTCCCACAGATCCTCACCTTCTCGTTGCTGCTGCTGCAGGATGGGCGGTGGCTGAGGGATGCTCTGAGCGATGGGGGTGATGGTGGTGGTTGGATAAAGAGCTGTATTCCAAGGAGACAGAACAAACTGTTTACCTGAGGATCTGGTCAGCCACACAAGGGCCTGAGGGAGACAAGGGAAGCTGGTACCTGCATACTGCTGAACTCCTGTGAAGGCTGGGTGCAAAGTCTCTGCTACTGAAGGGCTCTGGGCTGCAGAGAACAACAGAATCAGAAGCACAGCAAAGGGAATCACTCATGCGATCCGTCTCTCTTCCCCCACCTCCCCACCCCCTGCCAAGTGAGTCTCAGTGCCTGGCTGGTAGGGAGCTAGAAAAAGTGTGTGGGGAATCCAGAAAAGAGGAGCTAATTGCAGTTCCTGAGGTTTCTGGATGTTTTGGTTTTGGTTTTTTTTTTTCCCCTGCTCTCCATACCCGAGTATGGCACAAGGCCATTGGTGTAAACTGTTTCCAAGGCTGGATGCCCATTTGGGAATGGTACCACTCCAGTGAATCCATTTGAAATGGGTGCCACCAGTCCTGGCACGGCCGCTGTTCCCAGGAGAGGCGGTGAATGTAGCCCTGTAGAGCAAGAAGAGAGCACATCCCGTGAGAGTCGAGGTCCTGCAAAGCCTGTGCTCCCTCCTTCCATCTGCCTGGCAAGACCGCTGCGTACGAAGCCATCCTCTCCTCTGGCTGGCACCGGGAGATGACAGACTAACGCCGGAGCCTCCACAAAATGAGAGGCTGCACCAGCGAGAAGCGTGTGCGCAGCACTGCTAGTCCTGGCTGCTGTCAGAGCTTCGGGATGGGACATTTTTAACCCAGGGTTGTACAGCACCTAGCACAGTCCAGCCCTGCTCTCGGGAGGTGTCCAAACCCAGCAGCCATTATTGCTGCTATCAGGGGGAATGGTCTCAAGCTGCGCCAGGGGAGGTTTAGATTGGATGTAAGGAAGAAGTTCTTCACCGAAAGGGTTATCACACACTGGAACAGGCTGCCCAGGGAGGTGGTGGAGTCACCATCCCTGGATGTGTTTAAGAGACGGGTGGATGAGGTGCTGAGAGAGATGGTTTAGTGGTGGACAGATAGGGTTGGACTGGATGATCTCTAAGGTCTTTTCCAACCCAGTGATTCTATGATTCTATCACTGTGGGATGATCAATGACAGCACTGCTGCACTCGGAGTCATGCAATCCTGGGAATCTGGTCCTTCTCTGCTGCAGCAAAGGGAAAAACCACAGCAGAGAGGAGCAGCAGGGAAGAGAACGCGCACCGAACACGTGAGGGTGTTGGGGAGGCTGCGGCAACTCGCGCCCGAGGAGGGACCGCTGCGCTCAGAGGCAGCAAAGGTTGGCCTAACCCAGA